TTTCATTTCTAGAGATACTTAAATAGTGATAAAATTTCGTGAAATTCGGAATTCGTGAATTTGGGTATGGAACGCAATATGCCAACCACTTATAAAAAGGTTTTGCGGAATTTGAGGTTAACAAGCACTATTCCATTTGCATGACAGTAATATTTGTGACCAGTAACGAAACATGCACGACATTGCATAAAAGAGTTCTCTGACAACCGGTATTCCTATTCTTCTGACGAGAAGGAAGCAGTTTAGAGTACCTAGTTCCTTGAAAATAAGGATTTTGAGTGCAGGACGTGCATAGATCCCCCCTGCAAAGCGACATAATAATATTGTTTGTGTGTTATTTTTTATGATTGAATCAGAACCAAATATGAAACAGAATTCTGTACCATAAGAGTATCTAAAACATTTGTATTTTTTTAATACAAACAAATTTCGACTCCCATGGAAAAAAGCCAAAAACTATAATCGAAACGTTGTATTTCATATTCCTGTATTAATATATATTTCTGCACCTACTCGATCTCGTATAAGAATTAGCTACAATTGAATCAGCTAAACAGCCCACGAAAACACATCACTATCATTTAAACTTGCGCCATCGTACTGATAACAACGATTTCTGTTGAGGGTCTCTCGACCTAATGTATTCAATGAGTATAAGTTTTCCTAATGATTGATCATGTCGTAGTAATGATCGCCACTTATAGCCCAAACTTTACCACGATGCATATGCGAATCAAAACTATAGTTTAACTCGTGGTTTTCAAATCAATTTTGAAACGCCATTTCCATTTTAAAGAAAGAATATATCGCTGGTATTCTAAAAACTGACTCAGAATCGATATTGATCATGCAGGAACTTTGGTTTCTAGGGAAAAAATATTCGAACCATGCAAGTTTCGTAACCTTAAGTTCCTCTTAGTACGTGCAAGCGCGTTTGATGAATAGCTACTTTCATGATGAATATCCCTTTTTTTTTTCGTTATACGGAACATATATAGAATTCATAGAACAGGATTACTCAGGGAAGCCTTGCAGCATTATTTGAGAGAGCTTAGGGTGAAAATATTTGAGATAATTAAATTTTTTTTTCATTGTGAAATTATTGAAATCGTGCCCATAACTAGAGAATTTTTGGCTGGAAAAATTGCCCCGCGGGGAAGCACTGCATGCAGTTAAACCACTCGCATCGATCGAGAATATTCGGCTCAGTTAAGGTGTACCACCAGACATTAGATACCTGTTTGCCACTACCCTAGGTTTGCCTAGTTGTTTCTTGTTACTGCAAGAGCTAAATCAAAGGACCTCTCTAAAGAGAGATCCTTGCATGCGTGGACAATAGTTCTGTATGTTTTTACCTTTGGAGTCGTACATTGGCTGTGTGTTTCAAAAGCATATAGTGGGCAATATATAGATTTCGATAATGATTAGTAATAAAACGAAGTTTAGTTGCGAGGTTTTAATGTTGTGTATATTGTTAGTTAACCCCTTTCTCCCCCCCCCCTATAGTGATAAGTATTCTAAATCTAGTTCGTGATTTAGCCCATGTAACGTATAAATATAGAAAGCATTGCGATTTAATAAAGAATGCCTTATTCTTTTTCCTAATTCGATTGAGACATCTCTTGCGGCGTTGAATCGAGATGAAATTTTAAGAATTGAAACGCTTTTTTCCGTTTCAACAAAGCATGAATGGCGACGTAAAGCCATTCAGGTTTTCAGGATTTAATTCGCTTTGTCCATCTCTCGTTCTCTCAGTGGGACTTACACAGCCAAGACTGACAACCAGACATTCTTTTACAACTTTGGCGCGCAGGTGATGACGGGCCATCAATCAAGCAAAGTCAATGCCTCACAACGCCGTGTCCACATTGTGACATGTACATTAGCTGCGCAGATATGATGGGAATTCCAAACGAAAGTTGGCGCGTTTATGTCAAAATTCATTGTATTTTTAAGCTCATCAGATCTGCTCTCTGTAAAATCGACCACCTAGTAAAAATCGCATTATCGTGCGAATTAGTCTCTTCCAGAAAATGTCAACCTTATTTTTAAAAAGGAAATCGGATAAACTACTGCATGTTATTATTTTTTAGAAACAAGTTTTCGAAAAGCAAGTATAGAATTCATGTAAAAAAAAATGCCTCAGAATTCGGTTTGTAAAAGAAACGCTGGTAGCTTCAGAGACATTTGCATTTGCTAATTGTTGTATTTAAGATTGTATATAGGAAAAGGCAAAACGCTATTACTCTTTTAGATTTGTCAAAATGTCTATATGCAGCACACGGACTTAATAACCAAATTTAAGAATGTAGCTCAGAAGCTGGTAATATTAGTGACTCCATTTTCACCTGCTTAATTGCTGGTTTTAAAGATCTTATATCAGAGGCAAGACATTTCCCATTTGTCAAAATGTCATTACGATCAACGTTGTTTTAATCAATCTAGAGAATAATGAAGATGTGTGTCCAGTAAGATTATTAATTGAGTTAGCAAACAGTTTTTTTTATAGAAAATGTTTTTGTTATGTGTTTTAACTCTAATGCATTCAGGTCAGATATTCATACTTGTGTCAATAGAAACATGCGCGACCAGCTTTTACAAATCCCTTTACAATAGTTCCTGTAATGCTGGAAATCTTTTAACGAGGTGTCTGTGTGTAATAACCAGCCTTGCTGGCACCGTAAAGATTCACCGTGAAACTGTTTATGCAAGTTCATCATATCGAGTTTACGTTAATGTGCTTGGCTATATTGTACCATATCAAATTGTCACGATTGTTCATTGTTAAACGACAGTAATTCAATTTGATGCTTTGAGAATTAATTGTTTTAGACTATTTACAATTTGATGTTGTGAGAACTCTCTAAAATAGATTACAATTGATTGATACTACACTGAGAATTATTGCAATACAACACACTATTTACAATTTGATGCTATGAGAAATCTCTAAAGTACACTGCACTGACAATTTCCTGCTGTGAAAATTTTTCAAAATACACTATTGACAAAATTTCCACTGCGATAATTGTTCAAAACTAACATATGGTAGCTCTTTAAAAGCAAATCCTAGCCAAAAAAAAATGTCGCAAGTCCGGATTAGAAGCGCCTAAAACGACTTTCTTCGCCAATTGGTTTGAATTTAATAGGTATTTGATAAAGTTATAAGATGCGATTTCGACTTATTATATTTGGCGACTTAATCTGAGAACATTATTGTGCGATTTTTCCTATATTTTTTTTCATGGTTAGAGGAGATCTATGTATTATATATTTAGCATCAAGGTACTTAAACTCCGCACTGCCAGCTGTTTTGCGTTAAGGATATATTGCTTTAGTACTTATTTCACAAGGGAAGCAATCATTGGATCAATGACAAAATAATATATTACCTTACGATATGAGATTAGGCGAATATAGCTTACTTATCAACATGTTCATTATTTCTGTCTAATTCCACCCACTTAGAGATATTTCGGCAATAAAATAGGAATGGTATTTTCAGATATGACTAGATCAAAACATGGTCACCTATATATATTTGTTGAAATTCGACTGAATCCAGACAAAACATGATTATTCGTTTTCCTCAGGTGCAATTTGCCTGATCGTATAAGCACTTCCGTTCAATAATATTACAAAAGGTTTTTCGACCCCGCGCGTCAGGTAGAAAGACATACGATATTTTGTTTTTCCGAGCACGCAAAAAATTCCATTCCTTCCTGTGGGATTTCCACACCCCGAGCCTAACAGGACTTGAACTTTTGCTCTCAGATAATTGACTATAGTCTGTGTTTTTAGCTATGGATATACAAAAAAATCTACAATAGTATTAACTCAAATCATTTGCAGAAACGACCTGAGGATATCCGGGCAGCCATTCAATTCGACACAATCGTTTATGTTTTCTTTGGTTACTTCAAATGCATTTCACGACGTAATATAAAAATCGTGAAATTTTCATTTCATCTTGAAATAAATTAACTTTAATTAATACCAACTATCCCTTGGGTGGTACTTTTTTTCAAAGATACTGCAAGTTTGACGTTTTTGAAACAGGAAACGAAATGACTGTGTTGAGATCTATTCACGTTAAACCAAGAGACGTTTTCAATTTACAGAAACAATGCAATACCGGTGCATGACGTTATTTGCTACTGTCCCGAGCTTTTATCTCGCCATTTTTCATCGATGATGCAAAGTCTGCAACGATTTAACCGACATCACATCACCAACTTGTATTAGGAATAAAATTTTTCTCACAATGCTTAAATGAGTAATATCATCCTCTTGACACAAGATACAATAGCTGTCTCGTTTACAAAATTCGCCATAATCGGCGCATTAGTTTCAGCTCAAGGCACCCTTTGTTTTTGCTCGTAACCTTTTTTGGTTATATCCGCGATAGTATTGCATTTCATGGAGCCAAGAGATATCCTTTGAATCCGATGTTGTGGCTGGATTGTTTCTAAAGTCGCCTTTCCTTGTGAAGAAATGTTAATCTTAAAGTTACAAGTGGTTGTTATAGCGATTTTCTAGGAAACATAAGGTGATTTTCACGCTTAAAGGAATTGGCAATTAAATTTTTGTCCTCTTGTGCTACACTCAGTGAGTTTAACTGTGATGTAACGACTTACGTCAGCAGTATAATAAACTTTTAGGCAATTTGTATGATGATGGGATGAACCCAAGGCACGCATTTTCACTCGTTCAAAGACATTCTTTCTCGTTGTACTATCGAGTTTATGGCGTAGATCAAAGCTCTAAAGATTAATCTTTAAAACCATAGTGAAAACTGAAATAAGAAAATCTTTTTAAAAAAATGATTTTTAAAATATGATGGGCTATATACGTGCTTCCACATTTTACACAAGTTCCAACCAAACTTTGACATCTAGCTTTGAAACTGTAATGTGTCTTGTTGCCCAGATTTAGCTAATACTGGAAATTTTAAAAATCTGTAATGGTATCCAAACCAATTCTTCTTTCGAATTTCGCAGGTGAGCCCAGGTTTCGTGGCACGCCAAAGACGAATTATAGTGCGTACTTGGGGGGCTCGGTCAAGCTAAAGTGTCCAGCCACTGGGACAAATGGCCCGAATACGAAAAAGACTTTCGTCATCTGGTACAAAGGAAACGAGATGATTCAAAGCGGAGATGAAAAATATAAGTCAAGATTTATGATGGATAGACCGAAGCGCCTGAAAATTACCGGCATCAAAAAAGAGGATGCTGGAATCTACAAGTGTAATGCTTATAATATGCATGGGAAAATTGAGTTGGTTATTGTGCTGAATGTTAAAAGTAAGTTTTTAGAAATTAAGCACTAAAATTCTGGCGCCAAAAGACTAGTTTAATTTTAACTGTAGTTAAGGACAGAATTCGCCAATCAAGTTGTATTCCTACTCATTTAACGATACTTGTTTAAAGGCATAGCAAACCTAAATGTTATAAGATATTCAGACAACACAACGTATTTCAAAAAGTATAGAAGTTCAAAATGTGACCAAACCGTTTGTTTACATACGGACTTGATTTAAATTCACTTTATTACTTTCCACTTATTTGACTATATCATCGATTTTTTATTTCTTTAGGTGTTAAAAAACCTGGAAGAGGTGAGAGTTTGTTATATATATTTTATTATTTCAATCAATATCTATTCCGTTTTTCCATACTTGTAAGTTGCAATCATTGTTAATTTTTACAGTTTCTTTAAAACTTGCTCGTTTCTCTTAAAAAAGTTTGACATTTGAGAAAAACGTTATGCAAATATCTTATAGACCAAATTTGTGTGTGTATTTTGATACAGTATCAATATTACCAGCTTTCGCTTTATGTACAATATACTTATTCCATGCTATTTAATCAATGATTTAAAGCTTTTAAAATCCTGTGAACTCAATTCAAATATTCATATATTCACCACCTTGAATTTTCCCAGGAAAACCTCCGCGGTTCAAAGAAAAGCTGAAGATAAAAAAGAATTATAAAACAGGCGAAACGGCTAAGTTACCATGTCACAGCACAGGAGACCCTGATCCCAATGTGAAATGGTTTAAGGATGGCGTTCCCTATGGTGTGAATAGAAGAACAAGTGTCGCGGCTGACGGGTGGACGCTCAATTTGAGATATTTGAAGACAGACGACACCGGCTTGTATTCTTGTAGGGTCAGCAACAACGTTGGCTATATAATCCGAAATTTTACAGTCATAGTAAAAGGTACAGTATGTCAACATTGCTTGGGTTTTCCTCGGATGTTGCTCGGGTTTTCCTCGGATGTTGCTCGGGTTTTCCTCGGATGTTGCTCGTGTTTTCCTCGGATGTTGCTCGGGTGTTCCTCGAGTTTTACTAGTTGCTGTTGTTTTTGCTGTTGTTGCCAAAGTGTTGCTAAGTTTCTAGGTTTTGCGACCGCCTGACGAACTCCAATTTCTCTTTATTTTTAGAACGGAGTATGAAACCAGTTATAGAAGAGCCTGAGGAAAAAATGCGTGCGGTTTCACGGGGCCTTTCGGTAAAATTCTTCTGTAAAGTTTCCAGTGTGGGTGAGGTGACTTTTGACTGGAGATGGTCCCGCGAAAATGGCAATAAGACGGTAGATTTGAAACCCTTGAAAGAGTTTGGTTCAAAATACATCGGGAATGCTTCGTGCCATTACGAAACCAGTCTCAATCTTTTCTATTACGATGGCTTTTTGGTTATAAAAAATGTGGAAGAAAAAGACGAGGGAAGGTACAGTTGTTTGGTAAAAAACAATCACGGTAAAGATAAAATGGATTTCTTTCTTCGCGTGAAAAAAAGCGCCGAAACAGGTGAGAATCTACTAAGATATCTCATTGAATATTGCATGAGAAAGTTTCTTCAACTTGCACATTTTACTATGCCTTGAAAGAGCAACACGAATTTGGTGAAACTTGATGGTGGAATATTGTAGTAGCATTATACCTAAAAGTTTATCATCTCATTCAACCAGGCCCAGCGTGCCAAATCATCTGTGATGTAGTCATTTGTTATTAACGTTGTTCTTGGTAGAACCACTCCATTTTCTCTTCGTATACTAATGTTTTACAAAAACTTACGTTTAGACGAAGATCAGAATGAAAATCGATTCTTGTTACCAGCGACGCAAAAGCCACCTCATGGGACCTCTTCCCAGGAGGGTGAAAGAGTTGATTCTGAAGAAGGAATTTCAATCACGCTTGTCGCTATTTTGACGGCTACCATCGTCGTAGCAATGATTTTCATCGTCGTTCTTGTCATGTGTTGTCGGAAACAACGCAAGAATCTCGAAAAACAATACGTGGACGAATACCAGCCCCAGAGTTTATTTCAACCGTACCCTGAGCATACCAGTATTTATCAAGAGATGCAGAGATATGCTCAAAAAAACCACAGCGGCATAGCCGTTGATGCAAAGGCGGGCTCAGAAAATCCCCACATATATGAGCAAGTTTCGTTTCCAAGTTCTCTGAACTCATGTAAAACAAACGGCGAGTCGACGACAGCTCAGTCTGTTTCAAGCGAAATGTATTTAGCAAATTCGAGAACGTCACTTCAGACTACGCTTTGTCAAGGATGTCCACGAGAAACCTCGCTGGATTGCAAAGGAAGAAACGAACATTCGCTACCTCGAAAGACTGGATCGATCACGGGCGTGACTTTACCCGGTCGGGTCGCATCCCCCGGGGTAACAACGTCGGGTAGCAACGTCGAAAAGAGAGTCTGGGATAGCCAGTCGTCTTTGGATGATAATCCAAGAAAGACTAGTCCCCAGCGCTCACGGGAGTCCATTGTTTAAAGTGTGTGTAGCTTTGAGAAAAATATTAGAAATTAGAAATTATTTATAACCATTATGTACAGACATACAATCGCTATGCTTATTGCAAAACTACAGTGTTCCCCCTAATTTATCTACGGGTTTTTGTATTTTCGATCTCAATTATGAGACGTTCCTTCTTGAAAACGATTGCTGTGTAAATATTGAATTCAAGGCAGGCAGTAGGCACATCCTTGAATTGTTGTGTGATATTTGTAAGGTCTTGAGTGTCAGGCGTTTAAATTCGATACATTTGAGCTTCAAATTGCGTGAATTTTTCAATAGGATAACTCCTAAATTGTTGCAATTGACCACTCGTTCGTTAAAAGTAAAGAAAGAAGCCTTTAACTAGGCCAGGTAGTAGTGGCTGTGATATAAATAATAGTCCAAGATGCTTGTGTGATTGGGATTTAGATATGCGGAATAGAGGATACAGTTAAATTATTGAAGTCTGCAGCTATTCTTTAGTAACATGCTTTCGTGATTGATTGCTTCTGGATATAAAACAATATCAAGTTTTTAGAGTATGGAAAAAAAACTCATGAATATTTGCCTGAAAAATCGTTCAAAAAATACCTAGAATAGACCTTTCTCATAATGACGACAAACGGGATGGTGCTAAACGACGTTTGATTGGCTCGTTAATTTTGCGGAGCCAATTAAACATCTTGTGATGTGTGCATCTCACTTTTGACGTCATTATGGTAGGTTCTTGTTGAATTCAACTGAAGTTTTTGTACAGTTCTGCCTGTGTGTATAAATGTGTATATAACAGAGTATCGTGTAAATTGTATTTAATGTACTTTACGTGAAATGCATGCTGGGTAACCGAACAAATTACTAAAGAAATATAAAACATACACGTGAATTATGTCTGGTTTAATAAGCTTTTTGCAATGACTAGAAATCTCAATCTAGACTCAATGACAATGACTAGTAATCTTATTAATATCTATAGCTCTAACAAAGCGAGCTTTAGCTGTTTGGGTCACTAAATCTTAGATTTGAGTACACCTAATACCCGAAAGTCTCAATTTCGATTCATTTTCTCCCATAAATTGAGCCATGACATTAACATGCTTCAAACTCGTAGTCCCATCTCCGCCATTTTAACAGGAAAACAATACAAAATATAGCTGAGGGTTTTATTATGAAACATATATACAGCTTTATATAATTTACCGATTTACAAAAATATTACAATCTATTAATCACATATAAATTGGCCCATTTAATTCGCAGGCGTCGAATGCATCTGGTGATCAATTTTTGCAATCAACTCTAACCTAAAAATAACAATAACTAGATCATCTTTCAATTCGGATTACTTCTTCATCAGATTATTCGTCCAAATTTGAAAGTTTTGGAGTTTTTCCGCGGCGGGAACGTACCGTTGATGAATCTCGTCATACCTGTGGGAAAAATAATGTGAAAGTTGACCGCTTTGACAAACTGAATTTTAGTTTAATAGAATTTTTTGTAGTCAAATTAAACAAATTCGTTTAAGAATTGCCTATTTTTTCAAATTGCTATGCACATCGCATAAAAATGCGATAAAATTCTAATTAATATGAGCATATATTACTGTTAATTCTCCGGTAAAAACCGATTAAATTTTTCATTGGAAAATACTCACTGTGCGTCCATTTGTCCAACTAAGTTTCTCATTTTCCTGATATTCTAATGAAAATATTAAAATATTTCACCATTCGCGCTCGCAACCGGAGCAAATTTAGGGTAAGAGTTCAAGCACTAAACTTAATCATATACAAAGCATGAATAATTTATTCAAATCAGCTAAATAGATTCCATAAATTTACTTCTTCAGTTGATTTTATAGCATTCTCGTTGTGAACAAATCTTCTGGTGCTTTGTGATAAAATCTAGAAAATCAAACACTAAAATAAGTGGAGATTCAATTAGAAACATTAAAGTATGAATAAGAAACGATTTGGTTCAATATTTCAAGCATTTAGATGTATGATTGAGATATATATTCAAGCCAAAAAGTTCAAGTTATAATGGTGGTTGTGCAGAAATAATTGCTCAATCGTGGTCAAGTTTCATGTTGGATGCCAGGTATTTGGTTATTTAAGTTGTTACAATAATTAAAGCATTGATTTTAGCATCATTAGATCATCAAATTGATGATTAAATTGATGTTTGTTTTAGTGTGAATTGCCATTTAAATATGTTATAAATACGGTGATATTTCGACCTACATCGGGAGATCCAGATGCTTTAATCATCTGCTGAGCTAGTTTCCCAGCATCCGTGATATTAACGTTCACTCTTTCGGTAAAACGTTTGCATCTCTCGATTGTTCGTTTATTCTCATCTTTGGCCGCCATTTTACTTTTTAGAGCGGCGTACTTCATATAAGAGGTACCATAATGAATCGGTTCTTATCACTTGCACATTGTTCCGGGTCAGCATGCCCGACACGCTTCGCGTCTTTGCGCCCTTTCTTAACTTTCTTTTACGGATATTTTGCCGCAAATTCTTCGAAATCACAGTTAGTTACAAGCGTTCTCTAAAGTATAGGGCTATAGCCTTTTGTTTTCTTGCCCATTTGTATTGCTTCAATGGGCTCACCGTTTTATGTACGATTTCGAAGGGTATATTTGTGAGAGGGTGCTCTTCGAGACCACAGTCAGTCAGTCAAATAACTGACCAAATAAATGCCGTTCTTCGCTACAATGTGACCAGTATTCGGTTCTAAATAGTCAGTGAATTGATCTACCTTATCGAATAAAATCTCACCACTATTGGCACTGAACTTATGTTTCCAATAATTTACCAAAGTGCTAATGAGAGATTTCTTGTCTTGGGTAAAGTAGAGTGTAAGATTTGATCTTCAAGATAAATACCACGTCGGCAAGTCAGCAATCTAACCGATAAATCTAACACACACACTACATTTTTTATTATTTAAATTTTCAATTTTGCAAATAAAGCATTGTTTAGTAATAATTATATTTTTCAACAGAATCTAAAAGTAATTTGAATGTGATATCGTTCGTTTATTTTGAGGAGCAGGTTATATAAATATCTACTAAGTTCAAAAGATACAAAGCCGCCTTCACATGCAGAACTTATCAACAATTCTCATCGAATTTTTTTTTAAAGTTGCAACTTATTGTATTAAACGGGCCATTTAAAGAAAGTGTATTTATAGTAAATGAGTTTAAAGTTTCAAACCACTGAACTCATAGCAAAATGAAGCGCTATAAAAACAACGGGGGGGGGACGCTAGTTAGTTGGGCAGTTATATTTTTTAGTATCATTCAGCTACATAGGCACCCATGTGCTTCGTTATAATGTTATCAATAATTCGTCTAAATTATACAGTCATTTTTGAAAAGATATATCATATATGCATTACTTAGTGAATGGTAAATTACCACCGATAATTACAATCTTTAAAATATAAAGTTTCGTCAAATTAAACTCGATTTTTTTGACATTTTAAAATATAATTTTAAAAATTTTTATGGAATAACTCAGTGATGCATTTTGCCGGCAATAGTTTGCTTGCTGTGAAATCGTCAATCATACTGTATATAATTCAGCGCGTTGCCGAAAACGTTTTGCTATAAATATAATGCTCTAATGTTGCGCAAGCTCTATTCTAAACACATAGTCCGCTGTATAAACAGATATATAACAGATATAAATGACCTCTTCAACCTGATTCAATACACCGATAATGGAAACGACAATGATCTTTTATGAATGGTAATATGCCTGACGTACATTCGTCTTTGAAGCTCGCTTTTATGAAGCTTGCTGGTAGCAGCATTGTGCATTTTACGTGAAAGTTTTCTTGAAGTGTGAACCGCCATGAATTCTTTGACTCTAGTGTGTTTATTAGCAGCCGTTGTCTTGAGTAATGGTAAGTAACGTTTTATTATTTTCTCTACTTTATTATGCATCTTCCATCTCTACGAATAAACATGAAATACAATCAAAATTTTAAGATCATTGCTAAAGACCTTAAAAAGCAATTTTTTCATCGACAAATACAATACAGTCTTTAATATATATGTTGTGTTTTGTTTTGATAACGGCGTATAGCTATTAACCAAAGAATACTGCGAATATTTTTAGCGATAAAGTGCAAAATCACGGTTGAAACTGGCTCAAAATCCTATGCAGGAACAGATGCAAACGTTTTTATAACATTGTACGGTTACTCTGGTAGTTCATCCAGATTATCTCTAAGTTCAGACGAAGATATCTTTGAAAAAAACGAGTAAGTGACATCGAGTTTTGATATTTCCGTGATTGATGCCAGTTTCAAAATCGCTATGACACTGCTTCCGTACGTGTTTCCAATGGTTATTTTGAGGTGTTTTTGTTCATTTCAGTGTTGATGTTTTTGTCGTTGATATCCCGGATATTGGACCAGTGACCAGAATCAGAGTTGAACATGATAATTCAGGGTGGGGTGCAGGCTGGTATTTGAAACAGGTTCATCTTCTCTTGCTTGATAATTCATTTTCTATCCTGTTTATTCTGCTTTTCCTGCTTTTAAACAAATTTCATACAATTCCATACATAGTGGGTTTAGATTTCTGAGAATTTTTCTTCATACTAGGTAGAGGTAAAATACGATGGTGAAAATACTGGCAGCGTATTTGATTGTGATACGTGGATCAGTGACGGCTCTGGTCTTTCAAAATCTTTCTTAGGTACTCTGTGTTTCTCTATTGAATACATGTAAATACAACAGACCCTATTCCCAAAGGTCCAAAACAATCGGGGGAAGATGTCATTTCCATTACTTCAGGCTCTTCCCCGTCGCCTTCCCCAAAGCAAGATCTGAAAGCCCATTCTTGTTTCTAATTTTCCTCATAGCAAAAAATGCCTGCGGTTTAACTATGACTTCCTCGTCTCGTATTGTCGGCGGGAGCAATGCACTTTCGGGACAGTGGCCATGGCAGGTCAGCGTGTTTTACAAAGGAGGACACTGGTGCGGGGGGTCGATCATTGATAACGAATGGATTGTCAGCGCTGCGCATTGTTTTCATGACGATCGAAATACGGCAAACTACAAAATCACCGTTGGTATGTGGTCAAGATTATGTTCATGTATCGTTCTTCTTATTTTTTTTATATATTTCATTTTCACAAACTAAATAAGACAACAATTAAGATAATATAATTCACGACATGCTGAACTTTGAAAGGGGCGATGTTGACATGCAGTTGTCAAAATAATCGTCCGATATTTAACCTCAAACATCGAAGCTAAAACTCAGGATTTTTTAACATTAAACTGATAGCAAAGTTATTTCAATCTTTAGTGTTAGTTTAAAAGATTCTGGTCTCATAGGGGATTCAGTTTGACATGTTGAAGCTATTCAGAGCAACATAAGATGACTCAGCACAGTTTAAGTTGCACCCCGGGAAGCTCTGGATTGTATTTTATACTTAATAGCAAACTAGTTTAACTATTTATTGCTGTTTTAAAAGATGAGGATCCTTCCAAAATTAATTATCTTGCTAGTTTAAAGCGAATACATAAGTTAACTTCAGCTATATGGATTCAAAAAGCGACTGTAGTTCCGGAGTAGTTACCCTTTGCAATTTCTTTATATTTTCTTCTTATAAAAAACGACCAATGTGTTGTTATATGTCCTAATATTTTAGTGCGATTCGAAAGTAGTTTTGATGTCTTATTTAAGGTGATCATGACTTGCGATACAGCAGTAGATACGAACAGGTTGTTCCAATCGAGAGGCTAATAATTCATGATGACTACGATCCCAACAGTCAGGATAATGATATAGCGTTGCTGAAGTTGGAAACCCCCATCAAGTACAATAGTCGGGCCCTACCCGTTTGCCTGCCTTCCTCTAACCTGCCTGCGGGCACGCAATGCTGGGTGACAGGCTGGGGCGCCTTGGAGGAAGATGGTCACGGTCCAGCGATCCTGCAACAGGCTAAAGTACCTCTTGTTAGTAAGCAAGACTGTGGTTATGTTTACGGTTCGCTCACATCGAGCATGCTCTGTGCTGGCTACCACACTGGGAAGATTGATTCCTGTCAAGGGGACAGCGGGGGACCATTGGTGTGCAGTGTGAACAGAAGGTGGCATCTGATGGGCGCTGTGAGCTGGGGCGTCGGCTGTGCTAGAAAGGGGTATTATGGGGTATATGCTGATATTGTACACTTCAAAAGCTGGATAACTAATGTGATGTAATGTGGTCATAACAAATAAACTTTGACACATTGTGCTTTTTGTTGTTTTTTATTTTGGGAAATTTAAAATGCCGAGTGGCGATCGTCTATTTTAAAAAGTACGTAGTATAGTGATCTGGGGACACATAAATAATATTATTATTTCCTTGTAACAAAATGAATATTAATTTGTATGTCCCAAAAAAAAGGTTAAAAATAGTCTACTTTGAGAAAAGGCTTGACTGAATATATATATATATATATGTGCAGTTAAAAATTACAAAAAATCTATAGATGGAAACCCTAATACTTTGTAATGTCACACTAGTCCCGTCGGCAGATTGCTAATTTTTACACCTACTGGTGTGTGAGATAGACGAAACTTATTGCAATGATACATTAAAGTTAAAAAGTGTTTAAAATGACACTTACAAATAAGATAAAAATGGCATTATATCAAGTTATCAACCGTCGTTCAGGAGCGGCCACATTGGCGTATGCATGGATTAATGTTGATCCAACTATACTTTTCGTTTAATGCCTCAATACTGTGATGTAAATTTGGACAATAACACACGTTTCCATCAGGCACGTGATTGCATACCATGGCAAATGGTAAATTCTTATTTTCATGTACTATACAAACCAAGGCACCCGAATCGCCTTTTTTGGCGAAGTCATCTGAATTTTTTCCTCGAATTCTATAAAAACCAGAATTCATGTTGTTTGGCAGATACGTTGTTGTTATTGCAAAAAGTTCTCCTTCTGTTTCGTCGGATTCCGAGCCATATTTCTTGACTGTAGGTAGTTTACCCATTTTTATGTACGTCTTGAATAGTTCTCCGACTTGCTTTTTACTTAGTAATTCTGATTCAACCCTTTCTCTTTCAAGGGAAGCAATCGCCTTATCGCAGGTTAGCTTTTTTTCAAGAGCGATGAGAGCAATATCATTTCTGTCGTTGTATAAACCACACTCGAACACTCCTAACACTGTTTCCTCGTCAAAATATTGGTAACTACCACCAATACATCCAGCAGCGTCATCGTAACAGCAGTCTTCCTTCAGTCTGTTGTGTGCTTCAAATGCGTCTTCCGGTAAATCGTCGAAGCAGTAACAAACATGATAGGGGGTGATTGCGTAATGCTTTCCGGGGCTTTGTACCTGGGCGGCAAGGATTCCTATGGTTCCGCGTTTTTTATTTTGTACGTAAAGGGGGTCACCAGAACTAGGCCCTCCAAGAAAACGAGGGGAAGTTCTTAATCTCTCTTCGTCTTCGCTTTCCGGCTTAAATTCAACGAACGAGGCAATACGATCACCAAACAGGTTTCTTAGATTTTCCATGCATGGTGCTGCGTTTCGAGCGTAGGTGATGTACATTCGCCATGATTTTTTTTCTTTATCAATCCCAATATAGGAGTCTATTATCCAAGAGAATCTAAAAAAACGTTTGTAAAACCAGCAAGAAAACATATTAGTGTGGTATTGTGGAATGAGCCAGTTAACAAGAGGTTTTATAGTTTGATATTTTCCATGGAGTTAAAAATATTCTCCAAATTCCATGGAGTTAAAAATATTGGAAAACAGACCGAAATTCACCCTAACAGCTTATTGCTGTAAAATCACAATAATAAAATGAACGCTATACTGGATATGAATCTAATAATTATAATGTATCGTTAATGGTTCTTAAGCATAATAAGAAATTTTTAAAAATTTCACCTTTTCAGTTCATTTACATAAGCATCTTTCATGTCAAAATTCTCGTCAAATATGTTTTCTTCAAACCATTGATGTTTCGACCCTATTTCTTAATGAAAAAAACAGTGTTTAGATATAATATAATCAGTAAATACCATGCAGTGACAGTGATGCGTAAAAAAATCCTGAAAGACAATAAAAGCAAGAATGATTTGACCCTATTAAAAATGGGGTTTAAATAGTATGTTGCGTATGCATTCTATTACTTCCTTTGAAGGTCAGGTTCAAAATCTTATCACTGAATTGCATACCATTCCATACAATGGATTTTACCTGAAGAAGGTGCTGTGTTTGTGCTGCTATGTTTCGCCGCATTATGACCTGGATTGTTTTGTAAAATTGAATTCCTCATATGTTCAAATTTTCTGAAGAGGTAAAATATATAAACTTTAAAAAAAATTATTATTAATAAAGTTTTGAGATCTCGTGGTATTTTTAAAATTAATGTATACCACTATAGTAACGGGTTGTTTTAAAGGATTCTAGTTCAAAGGATTCAGGTTAATTCTTCTATTTTTAAGATGTAGGTATCGTATTATGATATCGCTATATTTTGACCATTATTGCAAAAAAAAAACATTTTAAAAAATAAACCGAAAAAGAATAGCCACCCTTGGTGTCTAAATACCGGACAGACCTCCTTGCAACTTTTTTGTTATAGACTATGGATAATATCTTCGAGTTTAGTCCACTGGGGTAGTTTGTTCTGGGTTAACGCAGATATTCAAACGCTTGCATATAGAACTGAAGAAAAATGGCGGATAAAAATTTAAAGAACTGACCCTGGCTGTTCCTTCTCATCCCCATTGCTACCACCATTTGTTTCATCAAACCCTAAAAATCGAACATTGTATATCACGCGTAATAATTGTAATTGCTCTATTGCAGATTACACAAATGCCACGAGTTTGATACGCTTTTATTATAATCAGTTACCCCAGTTAGCTACCTCAATTATACTTCAGCTAGTTCACGTATAGAATTTTGTTTATATTTTTAAATTAAACAACAAAACTATTGTTCCCTTATTATATATCATGCTGACCATGTATAACTCAAACTAAACCCATAAGTCAATATTTTCATGGTAACTTGTTTCCTTCTGATCATGTTTAGAAGGTTTCGCGGGGACATTTATCATTGATCTTTACCTTTTCTGGAGTTAAAAGCTGATTTCTCTGAAACAATCTCTGTTGATTCTTGCACGTCCGTATTCTGTGTGACAGATGTGTCCGATACTTGGCTCTTTTCCAGAGTGTTATCACTGATTGGTGATACGATTGTCCCTTCCGTTTTTTGACGCTTCAAGGGTGGACTGCAGATCAAAGTTAGAAGCGTGTGTGAAATCGACATATCCGGTATCTATAAAGAGGTAGAAAGAAATGAAAAGAAAGAAAGTAAAAAATGATGCGATTTTTAAAAGTCTTCAATTTGAATTTCAGCACCTGGTTTATATAACCACACAATTGTACTTTTCCGCTTTTAGCTAACATATTGATCTACGTTGTTAGAAGAGGAATTGTGCTCGGGGTGAAGCGCTTCTAGTTGAAAACGTCGGAGATCTGACGCCCTGAGACGCTCTTCAGTCTTTCTATACATTTACAAGTCAGTAATTTCGTGTAAATATAGTTATAATAAAGCAAAAGATTCCCGTTCTGTCGAACTAATGTGCAGGACCGAATCAATGTCGCCGTTTCAACATACAGCAACAAATCCGGTAGAAAATTATTACGCTTTTGAGCCGCAAATGTTAGAAATATAATTGAATACGAAATCGTTTCGACAAAGCGATTTAGTGTGTTGACTAGTTTAAAGCAACTTAATTGCCGATTTAACGCAACATAATATGATTGGCCGGTAAGGAAAAATCAAGTATAGATGAAGAAAAGTGTGTATGGGAAGTAGTTTTATATGCAGTACCACAAATGCATTTTGTGATAAAGTTAAAAATAGAAAATAATATTTTTGTGACATTTGAAAGTAGTTCTGTGATCGGATGTGCTAGATAATGATGAGGTATGGTGATAGATATTGAGATTCTGATACACATCAAAAACTAGATAGCTTACATAATATGATGTAATCACAAAATAGAGCTTGACTCTGACACGTTGTACATTTTATTACTTTTCTTTATTGCGAATCTTTAAGATGGTAATGCGCATAAATACAAGACATTCTCCAAGCTAGGCCACGCCCCACTACTATACATACTAGTATATGCTTTGTATCATAATTTTAATTATTATCAATTGTGCGTCTTTGAGTCTAAAATTCGTTTAATGAATGTTATTTGATTTCCTCAATCAGCTCTTTATATAATGAGCATTCATGCACGTACACAACCTGTAAATATTCTGTGAATTTTACATAAATTTAACCAAGGTCGTTTCTGTTTAAGCAAGGTTGAATGTTCATCATCTTCTTGTGCTTTTCTATTAATGCCTCTAAACTATAGCGTAAATTTGAACAATAAAAGGCCCGACCTGTGCGATTGCACACCATAGCAAACGGTAATTTTTTATCTTCATCTATGATACAAACCAAGGAGCCGGAATCGCCTTTTTTGGCAAAGGCATCTCCACCTGTTCCTTTAATTTCATAAAACCCCAAATTTCTGCCGTCAGATAGTTTCATTCCTGTTATGGACTGAAGTTCCCCTTGTGTTTCCTGGGTTTCCGCACCATATTTTTTTACTGTTGGTAATTTATCATTTTTCATGCACCTTTCGAATATATTTCCGACTTCTTTTTTACTTAATAATTCTGATTGAACACCATTTCCAAGGAGAGCAATGGCGCGATCTAAGGTCAGTCCCGGCGTCAGTTTGATGAGAGCAATATCGTTGCTGTCGTCGTACAAACCACACTCGAATTCTCCCAATTCATTTCCATCTATATAATAGCACTTGGTTTTTCTACAGCCAGTCGCGTCATTTGAGCAGTCGCCCTTCAGTCTCTCGTGTATTTCAGTTATGTCATTTGGCAACCTTTCGTGGCAGTAACACACATGATAACAAGTGACCGCGTAGCGATCTTCAGGATTTGATGTCTGGTTGGCAAGGATGGTTAAGGTCCCGCGTTTCTTTATGTTATTATTTCTTAAGCAGAGGGTATCACCAGAACTAGGTCCTTGAAGATATTCATCTTCATCGTCGCTTTCTTCGCTAAACTTAACAAACGGTTTAATTCTATCACCAAACACGTTCTTTAGATCTTGCATGCACGGTTCTGTGTTTCGAGCGTAAGTGATGCGCATCTGCCATGATTTTATATCTTTATTAA